CTTCCGTCTCCCTGATCTCTCTCCCCCCCCCCAAAATGTCAGTGCCTATTTTGAAAACTGAATACTTATAGACATTTTTAACTTAAAATTTACATTTCTTTCTTTCAATATTTTAACAAAATTGACTTTGACCTTTTTAATTTTCAGTTTTTATAGTAAAATAAACAGCAAATATAATCATGAAAATTAGAAAATAAAGACCTATATATGCATTATTTACTAAAGTGAGATCGTACTATATTGCTGTTTTGTAACCACCTTTTTTTAATCAACAATCTCCATATGTCTTTCCATCTTTCCTTCTTATCAAGGCCATAGTCAAATTCCCCAGTATGGGGCACATTTTCACATCTGGTTGTTATATCCCTTACGTCTCATTTTTTTAAAAAATTGAATCCAGTCCCCGTTTTCTTTTATACCACTAATTTATTGAGACGGGGCCGGCTCTCCTGCCGGATGTCTTACCTTCTAAATGCATCTGGTTGCTCCCACACTTAGCTTGTTCCTTTATACCTTGTATTTCCTGTTAACTAGAAGTTAAATCTTAAGACCTGAGAGATTTAACTTAAACATTTTTGGTTGGGCTATGTGATAGGTTCTATTTTTTTATTTTAACTCATCAGCTGTCGGGGGACGAGTGGGGGGGTGAGATGGGGGAGGGTATTAAGCAAAGAAAAAAAGAAAGACTCATGGGCACAGACCACAGTGTGGTGATTGCCGGAGGGAAAGGGGGTGTGGAGGGAGGTGGAAGTGGTTATAGGGGGATAAATAGTGATGGAAGGAGACTCGACTTGGGGTGGTGAACACACAATACAATATACAGATGATGTATTGTAGAACTGTATACCTGAAACATGTATAATTTTATTAACCAGTGTCACCTCAATAAATCCAGTTTAAAAAAGAAAGAGCCTTGGCTGGAATGGCTCAATGGTAAGAGCGTGTACCCGGGATTTGGGTTCGATCTCTGCCCTGATTGGGGCACGTGCGGGAGGCACCCAGTTGATGTGTCTCTCACATCGATGTTTCTCTCTCCCCCCACCCCTTCCACTCTCCCCAAAAAAAATCAATGGAAAAAATATCCTTGGGTGAGAATTAACAAACAAAAAGAGAGAGGCAGTGTCTGGATGAGTCACCGTTCATGAGACTGAATTTGACCACTGAATTAGGGTAATGACCCTTCGATCCTTCTCTGTGGAGTTTCATCTTTTTCTCCTTGTGACTAGAAAATAATATATTTGGTGTTACTTTGCACAGTATGAATCTCTAGGTCCCTGTCAAACATATACCTTACTGTAATACTGGCCTAAATTAGTAATTTCATGAAGGATCCCATAATGCTAATTTTCTGATTAAAAATTTTTTTTCTACATTATTAGCCATAATTTTTCTGTAAAATAGAATCTTTTAACATCTGAGGCTATTGATTTGTTCTCCTGCGAAGGTCAGATAGGTAAATTCTTTAACCAGCTCAAAATATGGCATACGTTTTTTCCCTGGCTTTCTCCTTTTTTAATATCATTGTAGACTCATGGATTTTTATTGGTTCAGTGTGTTTTAGATAATGTGTCCTAATTCTCACAACTTTGACTAGTGGGGGAGGGCACCTTTCAGGCTGATTCCTGTCCTGTGTCTTTTTGCTGTGATACTATTTTTTAAGTTCTAGAAACATTTAAACATAAACAAAAGCATATAAAGAAAAACATAGTGAACCTCCAAGGTGCCTTTCAGCTTTAGTAATTATCAATATATTTCCAATCTTATTTGTCCTCTTCTACTTTTTTGATCCCCTGAATTACAATTCCATTGATACTTGAAAGTTTTCCATTGGTACTTGAACAAGACCCCAGACCTGGAGTCATCCATTTCTAAGAAGCCCTGATTTGAGTAAGGAATGGTATCAGCTGAAATCTCAGCGTAAAAGTTATTGAAAGCTTTTTATTTTGATTTTACTTTACTTTCCCCCCATGTGCCTGCCTCATCATGATGGTAGCCTAGTTCTCATAAGCAGGGTTACTCTCATTTGAGTTGTGGAGAATGGACACTTCTCAAAGATGGGACAAAAAGCTTTATATTTCTGTTTCATTTGGTCTAAATGTTAGGTATAGCTGACACATGATTCATGTTTTGGCTGGTAAGTGTTTTTAATAAAGGATTTTTTATAAAGTAAACACCATTTAGTACTGCAATATAAGGAAATCCTCAATTTTTAAATATGTGAGTGCTGAAGCTTTGCTTTACCACACTTTGGTGTGTGTGTTTTTGGCATTCAACACATTTTCTTATATTAATAATGCAGATGATAAATTGTTATTGGATTCTAGCTCTTAAAATCTGTGTGATTTCCAAGATTAAACCCACGTCTTTGCCCCCTTTTCCTCCCGATGCCCTGCTGAAATAAAAGGTATAGAAATAAGAAAGGAAAAAGCCAATAACAATAAATAGGAAGACTACCTAAGAGTGATCATTGAACAAGCTCCTGGATCTCTTTTTGAGTACTAGAAGGCGCAAGTTACCCCCCTTCTCACCTCTCCATACTTTCTCAGCCCTGCACTTGGACCTGAGATAGCTGGCAGGAACCCAGGCAAAACACCACACAGATTTTCTTTAGAGAAACTGGGGAAAGCTAAGGCTTCTTGAGTACAAAACATGTCCCCAGAATAAAAGAAAAAGCCATCTTCATTCTGGCATTTAGAGGGCCTGCTGGCTCCCCACCTACACACCCTAAGGGAACACTGTGTACCTAGCCCACACAGGCCCCCTGAGGAGAGCCATCTAGGGGAAAAAAGAAAAAAAAAAAACAGACCATCTTGACACTAACAGAGAAAACCCATGTTGGCTAATGAGTCGTTCAGGACTGCATATGAATAAGTAACCAGAGATCACCAGGCATGTGAGGAAAACTAATGGCATGAAAGAGAAATTCAGATCGTCAGAAAAAATGCCGCTGGAGAAAATAGAGCTAACCAGAGAGAACTTCACAAAATAGGAACTCTCATATCCTCAGAGCTACAAGAAGATGATATATCCATTAAACAAGAATAAGAGGACACACATTTTCAGATTGAAAGGACACACCAAATACTGAAATAGTGACTCAGATATACTGTAACACAGTCTCACAAACCTGCAGAATTCCTGGGATAAAAGATCCAGAGAAGAGTCATGTTCAAAGTGATAAGTATCAGCCTGAAATCAAATCTCTCACCGGTAACCTTTAATGCTTTAAGACAGGAAAACACTGCCTACAACATTTTGAAAGAAAATACTGTGCAACCAGGGATTCTATGTCCTGCAAAACTATTAACCAAAAGTGAGAGCAGAATAAAGTTTTCAGACAGGCAAGGACTCAACCTTTTGGAATGAAAAGAAATAAATGGATTACACAGTCACCATCAACCTTCTTGTAAGGCAGAAATTCATTGTGTAATTTTTCATTAAACATTTTCTTTTCGGGCTTTGATTTTTTTTAAATCTCATTGGTGCCAGAAAGGTTTATTGAGAGGAAAAGGGGAAGGAAGATTGCAAACAATAAAAGAAACAGTTGTGGATTTACACCACAAAGTAAATTACAGAGCTACTGTAGCAAATAGCAACGAGACTGCTCCTTTTACTCTCAGCAGGCTGAAATATTCCATATATTGCACATAAATAACCAATCGTTTTTCATGTTTCTCAATGACCCCAGCAGTAGGCAACCTGGGAGTGCTTACATGTAATCACAACCGGCTGGTACACCACATGGCCAGCAGGGGCACCAGCGTCGGATTCTTCTCCCGTCATGACTGGAATGACATGATCTGGCTTAGACTTAAAAGCACCTTTCTGAATGCTGTGTTGAAAATAGACCTGGCTATAGAACAGTAGGGCAAAGACAGAAGCACGGAGACCAGTTTGGACATCGTTGCTGTATCCCAAGTGAAAGGTGACAGTGGCTCTGATGAGGTGGTAATAGTGTATCAGAAAAGATGTCAGATTCTGGGCATAATTTGAACGTAGAGCCAATAGGATTTCCTGACCAATTGGATATGAGGTGAGCGACAAAGGAGTCAAGATTTCTGGTCTGAGCAGTAAGAAATGAGAAACCGGTAGAGGGAAAAGATTAGGAGTTAAGTTTTGGGTGTTTTATTTCAGAAGTCCATTTCACCTCCAGGTAAAGATGTCAGTTACTTGGATTGGCACTTAGATATGTGCATCTGCAGTTCTAAAGAAAGGACTGGCCTGGAGATAGAACTTTGGGAGTATGTAAGTTGTATTTAAAGCTGTGAGACTGGGTGAGATTACCTAGAAGTGACTAGAGATAAAGAGGAGGTCTGAGGACTGGGACCCCATGGCACTCCCAACATTTGAGGTTCAGGGAGATGAGAAGGAATGATCCAAGATAACTGAGGAGGAGCCGCCGGTGGGTATAAGGAAAACCAGGACCGAATGGTACCCTAGGAGCCATGGGAAGAAGGCGTTTCAACAAGAAGTTAATTATTTTATACTGCTAAGAGGCCAAGTAGGATGAGCGCTAAAAATTCACTGTTGGATTTGGCAACATGAATGTTTGTTGTAGCTGCAACAGAATTTCTGGTTTCGGTGTTTACCTTAATAAGACCCGTTACATTTTTTTAAACAGTTACTAAGTTGTTAAGACAAGAATATATATTAAGTTGTTTGGGCCCAACTACTTAATAAATAGAACTATTGTGTATTTCTTTGGGCTTATGGGCTTCGTGAAAAAATTACTAAGATACAAATGGAGCTACAAACAGGAAAAGTTTGGAAATCTCTGCTTTCGGGGATTGTGCCAAGTGAGAATTTTAAGAGGGGAAAGCACCTCTTGCCTTTTCTTTGTCTCTGCTGAAAAGTTTGAGTTAGTAATTTTAAATCCAATTAGATTACGTGCAGTTCATAAAATTTCCCTAATGTAGTTATTCAACATAAAAAAATAAAAACTTACCTTGTGAAATGTCAGCGGTACATCTTTGCATGAATCTTTCTTCTTGACTCCATAGGTATGATCTGAATATGCGTTGCTTGGCAGCTCGGGTCAACTATAAGACTTTGATTGTGATCTGCGCACTCTTCACTTTGGTCACAGTACTTTTGTGGAATAAGTGTTCCAGCGACAAAGCGATCCAGTTTCCACGGCACTTGAGTAGTGGCTTCAGAGTGGATGGATTAGAAAAAAGAGCAGCAGCGTCTGAAAGTAACAACTATGTGAACCATCTGGCCAAACAGTCTGAGGAGGCGTTTCCCCAGGAACAGCAGAAAGCACCCCCTGTTGCTGGGGGCTTCAACAGCAATGGGGGAAGCAAGGTGTTAGGGCTCAAATATGAAGAAATTGACTGTCTCATAAATGACGACCACACAATTAAAGGGAGACGAGAGGGGAATGAGATCTTCCTCCCATTCACTTGGGTAGAGAAATATTTTGACGTTTATGGAAAGGTGGTTCAATATGATGGCTACGATCGGTTTGAATTCTCTCATAGCTATTCCAAAGTCTATGCACAGCGAGCTCCTTATCACCCTGATGGTGTGTTTATGTCCTTTGAAGGCTACAATGTGGAAGTCCGAGACAGAGTCAAGTGCATAAGTGGAGTTGAAGGTTGGTATCTCTCTGCTCCACTGCATTTTTCTATCCTGGTTGTGTTGAGGAATAAAACACTATAGGTGTTAATTATATAGCAAGTACATCCATAACTTAGTATAAGAGACCTTTCATCACTCTGACTTAGCAAGGAGTAACAATTTATTCTGAACCTAGGGCAACTTTCTAGATGGTGCAATTGAAGGGCTACAATAAGATTATACCTGGTCAGATAGGGTTATTCCACCAACCTGTCTCGGAATCTAAAATTCTCACCAGTAAGGCCAAGGCACAGGATCTCCAGAAATTTTGTGTTAAAATATACAGTTATTGTCCTATGAGAAGAGAGGGGAAAGGAACAGAGACCAATGGACCCATCAGTGTCCCAATACAGTCTTGTTACTAGATTAGCCAGGTATCCTCTCTGGGTGGAGTACTAAAGTCCTCAGAACTAGACAGTCCATAGGTACCATTTCCTCTGAACTTATTCTGAACTCCTATAGTGTATTACATATTGTCTTTCAGACTTGGAATAGTGGGGGTTCCTTATGAGTATATTAGTGTACAATTTAAAATTTGTATTTCAAACCTAGAATTGATCAGAAAGCCAAATTGAATTTCACTTTTCATTTACTTATGATTTGTTAATTTCAGAAGTTTTCAGTTCTATTTACTAAACTTAGGTTTTGTTTTTGGTTTTTTACCTCTTTTATCGTTAGCCATTTGCCACACCATAATCAGCTATTCCTCTGTTTTTTCTCTTAATAATTTTATGATTTCGTTTTTTTACATTTAACTTTTTTAGCCCATTTAATTTGGTTAATGTTTTGGTAAATGGTAAAAGGTTAGGGTCTATCTTTAGACTTTTTTTCCTAACATGTACTGAATAATCTCTTTCCCCCACTGATTCATGATGAGAGCTTTATCATTATACTGAAATACTTTGAATACTAGAGTATGTTTCTGGCCTACTATTCCATTGATCAGTCTATCAGTTCTTATGCCAGTTGTACATTATTGTAGTTATCACCCATCTTTAATGAGATTGAAAACAGTTCTGTTTGAATTTTGGGGAAAAGAAATCCCCCCTTGGAGAAGGAATTCAGAAGTTAAAAAGCTTATTTGTAGCCTAGGTTTCTTCATCTATGTGGCCCCTAATTTCTTAAACTGTGCTGAAACTACATCATACCAGATACAGTTTTATAGGTTCCCAGTTTCTCCTGGGGCTAGAACTACATGTATATAGGAGTTTATCTCTCAACACATACACCATGACTCAACAATACAATAGTCAGTGCAATGCGGTATGATTGTATCTCCCATGTAGGGAATTTCTAAAATAAATACTGACATCAAAACATTTAAAGGGCCCCAGCCAGTTTGGCTCAATGGTTAGAGCATCGGCCTGCGGATTTAAGGGTCCTGGCTTCGATTTTGGCCAAGGGCACAGACCTCGGTTGCAGGCTTGATCCCCAGACCTGGTTGAGGCTCATGCAGGAGGCAACCAAATGATGTGTCTCTCCCACAACGATGTTTCTCTCTCTCTCAGAGCCTCTCCCTTCCACTCTTTCTGAAAAGCAATGAAAAAAAAAAAAAAAACTTTTAAAGGTTTTCCTTAGAACTTTACAAGAGGTTAATCCATTAATGAATTTTTTCAAGAATCCATGTTTAAACATACAACAGTAATTTGTTAAAAAAAAAATACTCCTTGTTCTCAAGAATTACATTTTGACATGAAGGATGTGAAAAAGATACACAAGCTTGTGTATACTTTAAGTTGTGTAATCATAACTGGGTTCTTAAGCAAATGCTTTAACCATCAGGTTATATACTTATGAGGCCATATCTCAGTATTGGAGGGAGAGTGAGTATGTAATTAACTTGATTGTTAAGTATAAATGTTTTAAGAAAATGTCAGCGTTGATACTGTAGATTAACTGTGGTAACATTATCTACATGTATTTAAGTTACGTAAAACTTGAATGTTTGAAACAGGATTGTGAAACATGACATCTGTAGCTATGAGCAAAAGTAACACATGTAAAAAGTCAGTCTAAAAGATAATCTTCAGCATTGCATTGCTGTCTATCAACAAATAATGAATGAGAATGAATGAACACTTAATTTTGTTTTTCATATCTGGTTAATTTGGTACTATTTTCAAGTAAGTATGAAAACAGTATAATAAGGAAGCTCAGATTTTGCTGATAACTTTATATCCCCAGAAGTAAATCAGTGAAATGGTGTTCAGAACAAATTTATAAATGTCTGGACATATTTATTTTGTTTCTCTATTTTATAGGTGTACCTTTATCTACACAATGGGGACCTCAAGGCTATTTCTACCCAATCCAAATTGCACAGTATGGGTTAAGTCATTACAGCAAGAATCTAACTGAGAAACCTCCTCACATAGAGGTATATGAAACAGCAGAAGATAGGGACAGAACCAGCAAGCCCAGTGACTGGACCGTGCCAAAGGGCTGCTTCATGGCTAGTGTGGCCGATAAGTCTAGATTCACCAATGTTAAGCAGTTTGTTGCTCCAGGTAAGTGATATATTGTGTGTCTGCTAATTTCATGTTGATTTATGGCATCTGATAGTCTCTTAAAATTCTTTTTTTTTTTGTTTGTTTGTTTGTTTGAAAAACAATATTAGCAGACTCTTTATATTACGTATGTAAAGAAACAAATGGTGTCACTCAAGTGAAATCCCTGAAAAAAGGACAACTAAAAATTCAAGGTCATAAAAGGCATATTTACTGGGAGAAGAGCCAAGCCCTAGAGTGAATATTAAGATCCAGGTTACTGCCTGGTGTGCATCTCCTTCCAGGGATCAGTATCCCACAAGAATGAAGTTCCTTTGTTTATTTCAGTACAGTATTTATTCTAGAATTTTTAAACTATTTTGCATTAAAGTAGAAATTTTCCTTTATAGAAGGAGCCTATTTTTACCAGTAGCTTTTAATTTTTTTTTAAGATAAGGCAGCATTACCAAGTAGGCCTGCTTCCCATATTGAATTTTGTTAATGTACTAGATTGTCTCAAACTTCATAGAAAACCATTTCATTAATAAAATCATTTATAAAATCAAATTAACTTTATGCAACATTTCCCCTTTTACTAAGACAGTCTCATTAATTAGGATGTAATGCATTTTCCTCCACTAATCAATATCTATGAGAATTAATGAGTCCATTACTTAAAAAGACAATGAAATAATTTTAGTTAGCACCTCAGGCTTAAATTCTCTGTGGGGAAATGTTGTCAAGGCTAGAGCTCATTCCTCCCTCCTGCCAACCTTGCCGTCAGTAAATAGAAAGAGAAAAGGTTATAAGACCTCTTCTGTATTCTCTGCTTGTCCTTTCCTGATGACTGTGTACTTCGCAGACCTTGAAAGCCACAGTACAAATCTACTCATTCTGGATGGCCTTAAGTCATGGATTTATGAGTTCTTAATGCAGTACGAATAATGGGTGACCTTTCGTTTTTACCCTGTGAGTAGGTCTTCTTTTCTCCTCTGGCATTCTGTGATATTCCAGCACATAGAACATCTTTGCTTATTGTAAAACAGCAGGCTTGGCTGGGTGAGAAAGTACGTGGAAATGTTTGAGAAGATTTAGCTTGTGATACCTAAGAGGTTATTTATTGCAGCAGGAAATGATCGGACTGAGCAAAAGGATATTTGGTTTGGGGTGCACCAAAGGCACTTATTTTTGCACTAATTACAAAGTGTTGTCTGAATTAGGGTGGGAAACAGTAGCCCTCATCTTGATCTCCTCAAATGCTGGGGAGTTTTTAGAACAGTCTTTTGAACTCTGTCCTATTTAGAACAATAAATTTCATGGCACACTTTTGGATGCCCTGGGTAATACAAAAGAGATAGGTTCCCTCATTTGAAATGAGGGACCCTCACTCCAGCCCTTCTTCCTCTGGCTGGTAGCTGGAGATAAACTACCTCCTAAGATGGTTTTAAGCATGTGGAGAAGAGAACTGTCTGTGACAGGTACCCTGCAAGTCGGACAGAAGCTGTTCACGGTTGGAACTCTTGTTGGTGGGCGTGTGCCTGCTGGGGATGGTGCTTGTTTTGATATCCTGGGTGTGCCTGGTGGTGCCTGCGATACAAGTGTTGGAGGGAGAGAGAGCTGGAGCTAATGGGAGGTGGTGTTCAGAGCAGGAGAAAGCACTCCCCATGGTGAGTGTGCTTATTAAGGTGGTGGTGTGGGAGACGAGGCTTTTGAGGAGATACAGGCCTCATGGGAGGTAAATTCAGAGAATCACTATTGAGAAGAAATCGGGGCTTGTATGTAAAAGCACAGGCCTGAGTGAAATGAGGCTCTCGAGGACCAAGGCCTAAACACTGTTGGCCTTTTATTTTTTGGCCTTGAATTTTTTTCCCCTGAAGGGGACAAAATCATCTAGCGGAAAGAATCAGAATATGGGTCTGCAGCATATTTTTTATTGTTTTATTTGTTGAATGTTTTGTTCTTCTTCCTGATTTTAAAATGGAAGGAACTGAAACTTTATACCTGTCCTACTCTATTAAATCAAATTAGCTTTTTCTTTCCCCAAACCCTGTCTTCACTTCATTTCCACAGCCTCCCAGCCCTGTCCCTGTGGCTGTTCTTCCTCAGGCTTCTTGTGAGCTCTCTTCCCCCGCCTCACCCTCCGCTCCGGGGTCCTGGAGGTTCGGCATAGGGCCTCTTCTCATTCCACGGTGTAAACCTGTTGATTAAGTGAATGAGTCATAACAGTTGGTGTTGTATATGAAAGCATTGATTTAAAGACTACTCTTAAATGTTTATCATTCTTTGTTGCCCAAAGTACATGTACACATGTACTAAAACTAGACACTAGTAGAGACTCCTGGGAACAACTGCTCAGAGAGAGGAGGGGTTGTGGATTTCAAACAGTTAGGAAACTCAGAATTTTCTGTTAGTAGATTTAAAGCACTCTGGTTTCCACGCCATAGTCACTTCCACTTCTTCCACTCAGATCCTTCTGCGTGATGGTGACAGGTTAGTTAACCTCTCCGTACATCTATAAAGTGGAATTGAAAGAACTATCTCATAAAATTGTTGTGGAGATTGTGATTGTCAGTGGATTGCTTTAAATTAGGGATTGTGACTTCTCTGTCACCTCTCCTATGTAATGGTGTTAGGTTTTGGGAAAATTAATAGTGGTTTTTTAAAAGGTTTCATCCCATGACGTCATTCATTACTGAGTTCTTTGAACTAATCTATTATATTGAGATGTAAGGTGATTGATTGAACCATATCATTTGGTTGGATTTGTAAATATAAAGTGAAAACCAGAACATAATTCTGGGAGAACAGTGGGTACTTCCTGAGCTTCCTTCCGTTTGGCTTCTGGAGATGGGTCATTGCTACCCATCTTGGTGTAAATGGAACTCATAGTTAATACTCTCGTCTGATTAATGAGGCATTGCCCTAAGAATGAAAAAGTAAGTAGCACTTGAGTAATTCATAAGTCAGCAGAACCCTGTAGTGTTTCAGGGATGTACTGAGTGTCAGATTCCATTGCACTGTTGATGCAGAAAAGTGCTAGTTAAGAGAGAGATTACATGTTGATATTTTTCCAGATTAAATGGATTTTTACTGTATTAGAAGTATACTTCTGAAATGACTTTTGTAAGAAATCAGAGCATCATTTGATGTATATCAAGATGTTCTCATTCCTAATACAGTTTCCATAATTTTCCATCAAATGAAGTAATTAAGAGCCTTGGGTCAATTATATCCACACTAGTGAAGTCCAGCATTGGAATAGTTAACAATCAACTCAACATCTAATACTCTCCAAACTAATCACGTTATATGCACTATACACTGTCATCAGTCCACGTTAGTAATCTTTGCTCCTGGTGACACACTAAAGATTTCCTCAAGGACTCCTCAATGCAGATCTGGTCCTGTGGCTGTATTTAAGAGAAATAACTCTTCTACTGATTATTCTCATGAGACTTCCACTTCCGGTCTCATTTCTTTCTCACAGTCTTTGAACTTGGGTTCAGAAATCCTGGTTTCCAGTGCCTACTCCACCACTAATTAGCGTTTGGCTTTAGGCAAACCTTTTAACTTTGCAAGGCCTCCATATCTTCATCTCTAAAATGGAAGTGGTAATTCCTGTTCTGCTGGCCTCAGTAGATTATTGTAAGGATCAAATGAGATAGCACATGTGAATGTGTTTTGAATATTTAAGTTCTATAAAGATCAAGATATTTACATTTACCTTTAATATTATAAAATTTGTACTACATTTTGTTGTTTTTCTTGTTCTTGCTGCTGTTGCTGCCTGATTTAATGTGCTCAGTTTCTTTGCCTGGTAGATCTAGCTCAGCAGTATACAGAAAGTCATATTTCTGGGAGTCAGCCATCATTGCACTATAGATATGCAAGAAATTTCCTGTTTGATAATTTGCCAGATTAAATAGCTTTTACTGCCCTGGCCAGTGTTGCTCCATGGTTAGAGTGTCAGCCTGAGCACTGAAGGGTTGAGGGTTCAATGCCTGGTCAAGGGCAGATACCTGGGTTGCAGGTTCGTTTCCCAGCCCCAGTTGGGGTGTGTAGGAGAGACAACCAATCCATGTGTGCCTCTCTCTCTCTCCCCTCCTCCCCTCCCTCCCTCCCTTCCACTGTATCTAAAAGCAATGGGAAAATATCCTCTGGTGAGGATTTAAAATAGATAAATAAATAAATAGCTTTTACTATTTTATCAGCTTCTGAAGCTGGTAGCTTCAGAGTAATCATCATCATCATCATCATCATCACTATCACTGTCATTTTCTACTATGGTCCAAACCACTATCTTTTTTAAATCCTCACAATTACCTTGCAGAGTGATATTATCTCTGTTTAACATGTGAAGAAACTGAGACAGAGATGCATTTATTGAACATCTCAAAGCTAGTGAGTGGTAGAATAAGTTTATACAAGGCTGAGGTTTCTTTGTTTGGTCGGTTGGTTTTTTAACTACAAAGCCTGTGCTCTCCCATTACCTCCCTCAGTATCCCTCACTTTTTGTTGACTATACCAGCCTATTCCTTAATTACCAGAAATTTTATTCACAATTCCAGCAAATATATGAAAGCAAACCTATCATTTTTAATATCAAATAGTGAATGAGAGCATGTATTGTGGAGCCAGACTAGACAACCCAGGTTCAGCTAGCTTTTGGCTACTTTTTCTTTGTTCAGAATGGCTATACTGGAATAGTCACTGATTATTGATCAGCTAGAAAAGGCATTTGATCAACAATACCTTAGCCATTGCTCTTAACCCTCTAATGTTAACCACACAGACCAAAAGATAAGAGATTTAGCCTGATGCTCACAAGTAGCATGGACTCATCAATTCTATCATTTGTGGTTAATTTAGTAAAAATAATAATAACAATAATGATCTCACACAAAATATTGAAGTATTAATTTTGTATGGTCAGTGGTTATCAAGGATGAACTGCAGTCAACTTTTAAATACAAAGAGGTTTTATTCTAATCAGTCTTTGTTGGTATATTTTGTCCCCTACAGAGACCAGTGAAGGTGTATCTTTGCAGCTGGGGAACACAAAAGATTTTATTATTTCATTTGACCTCAAGTTCTTGACAAATGGAAGTGTGTCCGTGGTTCTTGAGACTACAGAAAAGAATCAGCTCTTCACTGTGCATTATGTCTCAAATACCCAGCTAATTGCTTTTAAAGAAAGAGACATATACTACGGCATTGGGCCCAGAACTTCATGGAGCACAGTTACCAGGGACCTGGTCACTGACCTCAGGAAAGGAGTGGGCCTTTCTAACACGAAAGCCGTCAAGCCAACCAAAATAATGCCCAAGAAGGTGGTTAGGCTGATTGCAAAAGGGAAAGGATTCCTGGATAACATTACCATTTCCACCACAGCGCACATGGCCGCGTTCTTCGCTGCCAGCGACTGGCTGGTGCGGAACCAGGACGAGAAGGGCGGCTGGCCCATCATGGTGACCCGGAAGCTCGGGGAGGGCTTCCGGTCTCTGGAGCCGGGGTGGTACTCGGCCATGGCCCAAGGGCAAGCCATTTCGACACTAGTCAGGGCCTACCTGCTGACAAAGGACCATGTATTCCTCAATTCAGCTTTAAGGGCAACAGCTCCTTACAAGTTCCCGTCAGAGCAGCACGGAGTTAAAGCCGTGTTCATGAATAAACATGACTGGTATGAAGAGTATCCAACCACACCTAGCTCCTTTGTTTTGAATGGCTTTATGTATTCTTTAATTGGGCTGTATGACTTAAAAGAAACTGCAGGAGACAAACTCGGGAAAGAAGCGAGGTCCCTGTATGAGCATGGCATGGAATCCCTTAAAGCCATGCTCCCCCTGTACGACACTGGCTCAGGAACCATCTATGACCTCCGGCACTTCATGCTGGGCATCGCCCCCAACCTGGCCCGCTGGGACTATCACACCACCCACATCAATCAGCTGCAGCTCCTCAGCACCATCGACGAGTCCCCCATCTTCAAAGAATTCGTCAAGAGGTGGAAAAGCTACCTTAAAGGCAGCAGGGCAAAGCACAACTAGAGCTCACAACCAAAATCGGATTTCAGCCTCTGCTGTGCACAGAGCTGCGGCCCTGTGTCAGCAGCGCACAGGCACGTGTTCAAGGTCGGAGGCTGGGTTTTTGTGGATGACATCAGAGTGGTACATGATCCTAAAACCAGTCTTCTGAGATCACGGCATTCCATGGGTTGGGTGTGTAGAGTTGTAGGTGGCATTTAGAGCAGGAAAGTGTTTAGTCGGTGGGCTGAACAAAGGTGTTTAACCTTGCCTTGCTTTCACCCTGTACAGTTCCACAGGTAGCCCAGCCCCTCTCGGTTTGGGAAAATGAATGGTAAGTAGCTGTTACTGGCCAACTGTCTGTCACTTACCTGAAAACTTAGTATGGGGTGCTTTTAAAATGTGATTATTTATGTTTATGTTGAAAGCAGACTTTAAAAAAATAATGTGCTGTAATACAGTAAATATTTACTTGTAGCCTGAATAGTGGACTGTGTGCAACTTTTTTAAATGATGTGGTGTTTTTTTTCTATAGATTAACTTCTTGGGGGCAAATGAGCATATTTGTTGTTTTTGTTCAATTTGTTATATATGGAGAATATTTTGAATTTATGGTTTTCTTGATGTGTAAATTAAAAACACAGTCAGTGTTCAGGCTTCACAGTTATGTGATGTAAGCACAACTAAAATGAAACGTGTTGACTGCACAAATTACAAAAATGATGTTATCTGTTTTATAAAACTTGATCTACAATCAGTAAAGATTTGATAATCAGTCTATCCCTCCCTTATCCCTATTGTGATGGTTTCTTTTGTCACTATCTAGAACTTTCTGTTTTATTTCAGACTACGGTCAAGAGTTTTTTCTATTTGGGGGGACATTTTGGGGACATTATTTGGAAATTTTTATTATACGTAAACTAAATTTGGAAAGGAGGCTAATAATTTTGATAAGTCCACCACCACTGCACTTTTAGCATTTTGTTCCCCCTTAAAGAAAAATACTAGGCAGATATTACATACAAGAATCACAGCAGGTTTTTTCCGACTTAGATCATTCTTGGTCATCAACTTTTCAAACCATTGACTGCACATCATTGTTTTTCCTTTGCAGTTTTAATTTTAAATTATTTCAGCTGTTGGTTAGAAGTGATGCTACTGTGTTTGTTGTACATGTGTAATCAGACTTTATTTGGCTTTTATATCTCACTATGCCGCATCGTTCCTATGCCTGCAGGTTTCTTAGCCCACAAACCCTGCACGGTGTTTGCTGTAGGGCTTCAAGCATTAAGTCAGAACCGAGGAGGTTGATTTTGCTGTCTCTTGTTTTATTGTATGTGTGACAGACACTAAATCAGTACTATAGCTTAGACAGATTGGGATATGAGACCCCATGCTTTCAGGGGTCACACACAAGCGTGCAGTTTGTCTGTGACCTATAGTAAATGCACATCACAAACTATTTTGCCCATAACAAAACCGTTGTGGGTTTTTAGGTTCCCCCATAGCTTTTGACCTTTTTAAGTTCTTATACGTTAGAGTTCTCAACAAAAAACATCTGGGTGTCTTCATTTTTAATTTCAGTGCTCAAAAATAAACTTTCTCCAATCGGGGAACCCTTTCTACTTCATCCTATTTGTTATTATTTTAGAACAGTTCAGACTTCTGCCTTGTGTTTGCATACTGGTACTTCAGATGAAGGGAATCAATGAAAACACTATGGTACTGCTTCTGTGACAAATACCAGTGCCTTAACAATGTGCCTGTCCTTTTCGACTGAAAAAGGACAGGTATTTTGATCTAGAAATGGCATTGCTATTTCACTGCTGTTGGTTTCACACTGCCTTCCACATTGCAACAGCAACCTAATTTTTCTTGTGATCCCAGAATTTTCTAAGAGAGTGAGTTGAACCTGTAGCAACACCGTCAGTACAAACTAGTGGTTCTCAAACTTCAGGATGTCTCACAACCACCTGGGAGCTTACTGACGTGCAGGTTCCAGGTACTCAGTAAATCTCCTGTGAGCCGCGGGAACCTGCATCTTCCAACAAGCATTCAGGTGGCTCTGAGGCGGCGACCTGGGGGCAATCGTGGAGGAACACTGCCCAAGCCCATCCATTGCGTTTTTGTTCCTAAACACCTATGGAGTTTTCTAGGGTTTTCAATCATGTAAAATGTTTACTTACTCTGAGCTTAGAGAGAATGGGGAAGGTGTTTTAAAGTTTGTTTCTTTAAATGTGTCTTTGTTTCAGGATTGTGGGTGTTAGTTTACACGTATCTTGGGTTAGCTTTGACGTTAAGGTAAATCTGTTGCCGCTTCAGTTTTTAAGCCAGCCAAAAGTGTCCGATAAAGGTCACGTTNTCTTTTGTTTCTTTAAATGTGTCTTTGTTTCAGGATTGTGGGTGTTAGTTTACACGTATCTTGGGTTAGCTTTGACGTTAAGGTAAATCTGTTGCCGCTTCAGTTTTTAAGCCAGCCAAAAGTGTCCGATAAAGGTCACGTTTGACCCTTTAGCAGTTACTGTACATAAAGGCTTCATCCAAAAACCACCCCGTGTGTGTGAGCAAGTACAGAAGTGGCGCCCAAGCACAACCCGCGAGGTGCGGCAGCCCTTTCCGCGCCGGCGTGCGGACCTCGCCGGAAGCTGCTCTTTGCCTCCTCCTCGGAACTGGTTTTCTTGTTTTTCCTCTGTTGTACATGTGGGTTATATACCATGTGTTAAATATGCAATAAAGTGTTTACCGGATGCCCTTCTGAAGGGTGGTCCTTTGTAAAGCTGTACAGACTTTGCAGTTTAAGCACAATGTGCACATGTTAGTTTTATATACAGCAAAACTTGATTTTTTGCAGATGGAAAGGTATTTTGTTTCTATACAAAGTAAATGGATTGTTTGTGCTTAATGTAAAGCTGCTTTATAAAATTGTAAAATAAAGTTTTTATCTTAAAAGGAATATACCTGGGTATTTCTCTTTCTTCTCTAATTATTCCAAAATTATCTGACCCCAGCAAGCAGATCTCTGACCATCATTTTCTGTTTGGCCTGTGACAACTAGTCAGGCAACAAATGTTCATTAGAAGGTGTATCAGGCCCTTTAAGACAGTGTGGGGAGGAGTACGTCACATGCGCCGTAACCAGGAGGGTTAGTCTATAGGGGATACACAGTGTTCACAAAACAGTTTCAGAAAAATAAAATGCTGGCTTGTGTGGCCAGTCAGAGAAGGCGTGGAGGAGCTAGAGCCTGGGCAGGGGCTCAGGCCTGGGCACCAGGTGGAGGGAGAGGCTCAGGTAACTTGAGCAAAACCAGGGCGCCGTGCGGGCTGCGAGGGTGCCTTCCCGAGCTAATTCAGGCTGGTGGCTGTTTCGACCTGATTTCAATTTATTGGAAGTTGGTCCTTCCTGTATTTTCTGTAGTTGCCTCTTCTGAACAAAAGCACTATTTAGTCCCTCCCCCCTTCTCGGAGTGAATGAATGATCTAGGCTCCCAAATGCATGCAAAATCATAGACCAGCCCGGCGTCATGTTGTGTTGCATTGCACATTATATTTGGGTGATAAACACTGCATTTAATTGATGGAATTCCAGTTGGTCAGCTTTTTCCAGCGGGTGGGTGCACATACTCTGACAGGCTGCTGATCCACAGTTGGGGCCACTTCCCTCTCTGTCGTCCTCAGCTGGGAAGCAGCCCCACAGGGGCGAGCAGTTCTTGGTCCGGACGAGGTCTCCGACGGCTCTTGCTTTGATTGTGCAACTTGAGCGAAACTGTTAATACATTAGCCACCCTGCTGTGGCACACCGAGCAGCACACGCTTGTCCCCATTGCCCTTGAGGGAGACAGACCCTCCATGCCCCAGAGGACTCACTCCAGCCTGTGGAGCCCTCCTTTCCCAGGGATACCCCCTTCGTATCCGCAGGGCCCTGGTGGCCACTGTGTGCTCTGACACTGCCTCTTCTGGGGCGAGTCCCTCGCTCGAGGTGGGCCAATAAGTCTCTTCCCCAGGAATCCAAAACTGGGGTAGATAACTGAAGAAACACAGGGAAAAAGAAGAGACTCTTGACAGGGCTCCAGGCCCTGGATCCAGCGCATTTCTGAGGCCAGCAGCGTTCCACGCCGGCTCCATGCAATACCACCGTATCCTTGGGATAAATTCCTCTGTATGCTAAGTGGGCTGGATTTAGTTTCTGTTGTTTATAACTAATGAACCCTAATTAATAACAGTGTCTCCAGTATAGAGAAAAATATAATGCAAATTCTATATTTTCCTGCAGTCTGGACCACTGTATTTGCTAGGGTTGCCATAACAAAATACCACAGATTGGGTGGCTTAAACCATGGAAATTTATTTTCTCACAATTCCAGAAGCTGAAAGTCCAAAGTCAAGGTGTCAGCAGGCTTGGTTTCTTCCGAGGCCTCTTTCCTTGGGCTGCAGATGGTCGCCTTCTTCCTGTGCCCTCTGTATGTTGTCTTTGTCCTAATCTCTCCTTATAAGGGGATCAGTCCTACTGAATCAGGGCCTATTTGTGTCACCTCGTTTTACCTTAATTACCTCTTTAAGGTCCTGTCTCTTAGGGCTTCAACATGGATTGGAGGGGTTGGGGGACACCAATTCAGCCCATAACAACCACTCTTCACTCTCAAGTGCACAGAAACTGAACTAGCCGGGGTTGCCATTCAATTTGTTGATAACCAGTTAAGGCCAACACTCAGATCCTCAGGGACCATTCAGGGGGCAGAAACCTAGGCGGCGCTCCCTGGCTCTGCCAGGGCAGCATCAGGAACATCCTCCGCCCACGGGCGTCCATTGCCTTCTCATACAGTCCCAGTAGAACGAATTGATCTTAAACTCTTCTTTATAAACTAACAAAAGGTGACCTCTAAACTTAAGCAGTGGTAATAAAAAAATATATAGAGGCGCCAACATCCGCCCCTAGATTTTTATTCTTCCTACCATGTGTCATATCCGTGAGCCCATTCTGAATATAGAACTCTGAGGTATTGAGAAAACAGAGCGACAGATGATATCAAAATAGCAAGTTGTGAGATTTGTTCAATGATAATTGCTTAAATTTCAAGACTGCATGATTGTAACTTACAAACAGCTAATAATATAGGGATAAAATATTGATTTTCATTATGCCAACTCCCTAAGGATGTCAGATTGAAAATGGATGTGAATTTAGATGTTGCCTCGGTGGTGGGCGGAATGTTTGCCGCTCCCCTTCTGATGGAAGGAGACACGGCGACCATCTGGTAAGCGCGATCGGTAACGTGTGCGCTGCACTTCCTGGGGGTAAGCAGCAGCAACACTAATTCTGCTCATCCTGTTCCAGGAGTAGAAGGATTTTGTGAAATGACAGGACTGCAAAGCAATCCATCGAGGAGCAGCAGCGAAGAGAACAGCAAAAGGGGAAGAGAGAGGCCCTGCGAAGGATCCGAAACAGAGCAGCCCATCAACTAATGGTAAACACAGCTTAGATCGGGTGTTTCTAGGCAACCCCAAGCTCACTGCATCCAAACTCACCTGGAAGAGACAGTGCCTTCCTGGGATTTTGTGCTCTTCTCATCAGCACCTCGTGAAATCAGTGAGTGAAATCAGTGAGTTACGAATGGCTGCCCCCTTTACTAGTTTAGAAAACCTAGTAAAGAGTTAATTCCTGGGGCCGAGAGAAGGTGGTAAATCCATGAGGCGAGCTGGGGGCGGGGGGAGGGGGAGTTCTCGGCAAAAGTGTATGATTTTCACTTAATTGCCTGCTACTCTGTCTTTCTTTTTTAACACCAGTGAAATTAAATCTGTGATTCGATTGAATATAGAGTGGGAGGCCCCAAGCTAATTCTCAAATTCCACCAATGGCATGGCAGGTAATCAGGGCGAGAGGGTATCTTCTCAGCTCCTGCAGGTAACCTAGAGAGGCACCAGCTTCATCTGCAGATATCCACCACAAGTATTAGCCGGGCAGCTTCTTAGGAGCTTGAATAAATCCTCAGAGTTCTTCGTGTCTGAGTAGAGCAAACTACGATTCTGGATTGGGGCTGCTTTGTTTAGGACGAGGGAGAGGGGACAAGCACCACTGTGGGTGCTCCCCAAACTAAATCTCACAGCTCACTTCTCAAAGCCCGACTCTGGAGGTAGTGAGAGAAGGAAACACTGTTGAAGTAACTTGCTTTTCAGGAGGCCTCCTTCCCTTCTTCATTCGGTCATCAGCTCCAACGTCAGCTCCTTGGTGAGGCCCCTCAGACCACCCAGCCAAGTCAGCCTCTGGGGTGCCCGTTATCACAGTACCTCGCTTTCTGTTTGCATAGCCTTTCTGCCCAACAGGAATGGATTTGTTCCATGTGCACAGCCCTGCCTCCCCCCCAGAATACACCTCCTTGACTCTGGCCCCTGTCTTATTCCTAGCACCTAGCACAGTGCCCCATCCACAGAGTGAGCTCAGTAAATGGTGGTGGGTGTTTTATTAATTAATTAATGGAAGTTTCCAAAGAAAGAGGGGCCTGGGAGCTAGCTCTGTCCTCACGGCATTCTGACAGTTCTTCGTACCCTCTAGCGTCAGCATCATTTCCAGGGGCTTCCTGGGAATGAAAATCCCAGGCTCCGTCCTAAACCCACTGAACCAGGGTCAGAGCTCTACCAATGCCCCAGGTACCTGGTGTGCACGTTGCAGTTTAAGGATCACTGCCCGGTGCACTGGTTCGCAGACTCGCCTGCACGTTGGCATCACCTGGGGAGTTACACAAACCCTGACGCCTGGGCCCTGCCCGCAGTGATTCTGACCTCATCTGTCCTGGAGGGGACTGGACTGTGCAGCTGGTTATAATGCGCAGCCGAGGTGGAGAAATAGCTCATGTCTGGTGTGCCTTCCTGTGGGAAACAGAGAGCAAAGCTCAAGAAACGGACAAGGGTAAGGCTTGAATCACATGGGGAGGAAAGAGAAGGGAAATGTGTGATTGCCTCCCTGTCTTCAGCTCAGCCTTTAGCAGGGCACTCGGCCTCATTGGTTATATTTATACGCCCATCTCTTAGTTCCTAAGTTGCTCTGGGCCCTGCTCTCCTCCTCTTTAAGTGCTCTGAATGGAGACTGTGGCTCCCCCATCAGACGAGGGCATTACCCAGAGTGGAGGCTGAACCCCACTCAGACACACACACACACACACACACACACACACACACACGCCAGTTCCCCAGAGTTCTCAGCACGGAGTTCTCTGGTGGGTCAGGGACACGGTGAGCCCCAGTCCAGTGTGTGAACACAGGTGCATGCGTGCGCTCCCACCCCCTCGAGAAGTCCTGACCTCTGCCCACAGATCCCCTGATCACAAGTTTCAAGGAGGCTGGATTTACAGAAAACCAGGCGAAGTCAGGAAAATCCCCCCCAGCTGCTGTCGTTTCAGCGGAAAGGAGAGTCTGTACCCATGTCAAAACCACCCAGAAAAAAATGCTGGCTGTCCTTGGGTCTCAAAGAACAACTCCAATTCTCAGATGAAGAAAAGGGAATTGGGTCCGAGGACAGGGCTCCTGCCCCTCCCCCAAGTCCACCTCACAGGCCCCATTCCAAGGTTTTCCTCCACCCTTACCTCAACCCCAGCAAGCTATGATTCCAGTCAAATGCCAAGTAAACCGTTTCCAACATCTACACCTGGTGTAAATGGAGCGGCCAGGTCCTTTTACACCAAGGAGGCAGCGCAGCCAGGGGGCTCTGGGGTCGGTGAGAGAGACCTGGTGTGGCCCACACCCCCCTGGTCCCTGGCTGGCTGTGGCCTCCACGCTGCAATGCTTGTCTCCCTCTCAGGCTCTCGTCCTTCAAAGCAGCCTTTTAATGGGTGGAGGAAATCATTAACTGAAGGCTTTCTCTCTGGTTCACAAAGTCACTCACTTTGCCCGGCTGCCTTAAATCAATGCGCCAGCCCTCTGGTGACAGCCACGGTGCCTGCCTGTGCTCTAAGCAGATCTCACA